CCCATCCCTTCAATAATTTAATTGTCATCTCCCAGATTCTGGGAGACACATGACCAGACCCAACCAGGGTCTCTCTTCACTCGCTCCAGGGGGCGGTAAGATGAGAGACCCTGGGAACGAGGTTGATTCACTGCTGGCTTTAAAATGTCTCTCCTCCCTTTTTTAAAATTCACTTATCAGAGGTCTAAATTAAAAGAAATAAGTGCAAGATAATATGCTAAAAATTACAACATTGAGCATTTTAAAATGAGCCACACAAGTTCTCAAAGGATGCAGACCTAACACAGATGTGTAAAGACAGGAAAGTCAAAGTACAGTATGATTGTCTACATCTACATCTACATTATGGGGGTCTTGCAAAGGGAGGCATGCTCCCATCACTGCAAGACATTAAATAGTATTTAATTAAAATAGTAATAACATTAAATTGTGGGGATCATGTGTACTAAAGGCATCCGCAGTCGAGTGTCAATTGATACCCGCGAGCGACACTTGATCAACATCTCAGTCAACACTCCATTGGTATCCTGATCAATACTCAGTCAACACTTGATCACCATCTTGATCGGCACTTGATCAACACTTGATTAACAGTTGGTTGATAGTCAGCTGAATGTTGACCAACTCATATACATCAATCGAAGATTAGTCAGTTCTCAACAGACTGTCAATCAAGTGTCAATCAAGTGTAGGAATCCAACCTTCTTATTAGGTCAGAAATATATATATAAGAGGTGCTTTCCATTTGATAAAAAATNCCCAACCAGGGTCTCTCTTCACTCGCTCCAGGGGGCGGTAAGATGAGAGACCCTGGGAACGAGGTTGATTCACTGCTGGCTTTAAAATGTCTCTCCTCCCTTTTTTAAAATTCACTTATCAGAGGTCTAAATTAAAAGAAATAAGTGCAAGATAATATGCTAAAAATTACAACATTGAGCATTTTAAAATGAGCCACACAAGTTCTCAAAGGATGCAGACCTAACACAGATGTGTAAAGACAGGAAAGTCAAAGTACAGTATGATTGTCTACATCTACATCTACATTATGGGGGTCTTGCAAAGGGAGGCATGCTCCCATCACTGCAAGACATTAAATAGTATATAATTAAAATAGTAATAACATTAAATTGTGGGGGTCATGTGTACTAAAGGCATCTGCAGTCGAGTGTCAATTCATACCAGCGATCGACACTTGATCAACACTTGATCAACATCTCAGTCAACACTCCATTGGTATCCTGATCAATACTCGGTCAACACTTGATCACCATCTTGATCGACACTTGATCAACACTTGATCAACAGTTGGTTGATAGTCAGCTGAATGTTGACCAACTCATATGCATCAATCGAAGATTAGTCAGTTCTAAACAGACTGTCAATCAAGTGTCAATCAAGTGTAGGAATCCAACCTTCTTATTAGGTCAGAAATATATATATAAGAGGTGCTTTCCATTTGATAAAAAATTCCTGTTTGAATTTCTGGAAATTTCCTGTGACAAATGGAGCAGCATTTTCCGAAATTTACAGTAAAGAGGACAACATTGCAAGGTATACTGAAATTTGTTGAATTTTCAGTTGAGTGGTTCTTCTGGAAACTTTCCCCCAAGAAATTTCCATATCATATGTCCAAATTTTCACTCGAATGGAAAGTGCCCAGCATGATAATAGATGATCATCAAATGTAAATATATTACAACAGAGATGTGACTTTGTATTCCGAGATCCTGCTATATATAAAAATACCACCACATGCCTGACTCTATTTACTTTATTATTGCAGACTTGACCCAGAAAAATGGGGTGTGAATGTACAGGCCTACTCTGGCTCCCCTGCTAACTTTGCAGTTTACACTGGGCTTCTTAATCCACATGACCGTATAATGGGTCTTGATCTACCGGATGGAGGGCACTTGACACATGGGTTCATGACAGAAAAGAAGCGTATATCTGCAACATCCATCTACTTTGAATCAATGCCTTACAAGACAAACCCAAAGACTGGTTTAATAGACTATGAAATGCTGGCTGAAACAGCCAGATTGTTCCGTCCTAAGCTGATTGTCGCTGGAATCAGTGCGTACCCACGCCATTTGGACTATGCCAAATTCAGGGCAATATGTGATGAGGTTGGTGCTTATCTCATGGCTGACATGGCACATATCAGTGGTCTCGTTGCTGGTGATGTGGTCCCAGGTCCATTTGAGTATGCAGATATTGTTACAACAACAACGCACAAGTCACTCCGTGGCCCACGCTCTGGAGTCATATTTTACCGCAAGGGCATCAAGGGTTATAAGAAGAATGGGGACCCCATAAAGTATGACTATGGAAGCAAAATCGACTTTGCTTTGTTCCCTGGACTTCAAGGTGGTCCGCACAACAACCAAATCGCTGCACTTAGCACCGCATTTAAGCAGGCCAACACGCCACAGTTTAAGCAATACGCCCAACAGATCTTGGACAACTGCCAAGCATTGGCTAAGGTACTGTTGGATCGAGGATACACACTGGTGTCTGGGGGATCTGATAATCACCTGGTGTTACTTGATCTGCGGCCTTTAGGAATGGGTGGTGCCCTGGCTGAGAAAGTTTTGGAAGAGGTCTCTGTCACTGGTGAGTTATTTAGTCATTGTTACTTGGTTTCTCATTGTTGTATTAACAGTCAAAGAACTTGACCAGCAAATTAAGGGAAATCCTCATAGTTTAGTAAGGAGTTCTTGCAATAATTTTCATTAGGTAGCTTGAGCAATGAAGACAGCGGCAGCAAGGACAACACCTAGTAAAAAATGATTTTGTATTTTACCTTCGAATGCCAATCAGTCTCAAAGCCTGTTTAAGCTAAATATGTAATGTCGGCAGTCAATTACAAAAGGAAACCATCCTCCAAAATATACAGCACTTGATCATTTCATATTGTTTTGTAGAGGACAACCATGAAAATTATGTACAAAGATTTGTAGCACACAGTGTGCAGCCATTATTGTTCTGCTTATTTAACCTTATGTTTGGTGATGTTCTTGTTGCCACTGCTGTCATGGTTTGCTTAAGATCCCTATTAATGACCCTGGAACATCTCTGAATAGAAAAACAAAGTACTAGATTGCTAAATGCTCAACAAAGAAGTAAAATGTTAGCATAAATGCAAACATGATCACCCCTTACAAGCTTATTATTATAAGAGCAATAACCATAACACTTGTTATGACGTGCCATTTTGATGGGTGGTTGTTTCTGTTAGTGAGGCAGTTTCCAGTAATTGATAAGTAAGTATGAACATCACTTGCATCTAAGCATTAAGGATCATGTGTACCAAAGGCATCCGCAGTCAAGTGTCGATCAATATCCTCAATCAACCCTCCATCAACACCTCAGTTGACACTCGATTGACACTCTATCAACAATTCGGTCCACAACCAGTTGAGAGTCAACTACATGAAATTTTCAGAATATGAGTCAGTCGGCACTACTATCAACCAACTGTTGATCAAGTGTTGAGTGAGTGTCAATGGATTATTGATTAGGATGTTGAACGCGTGTTGATTGAGATGTCGATCGAGGGTCAATCGAGGGTATCGACCAACACTCAACCACAGATTCCTTTAGTACGCATGATCCAATATGTACATGTTGTGAAAGAAAAAATGATCTTACTGGGAATCAAATGTTGCATGATTCATTATCTAGCATTTCAAGTTAAAATTGACAACATTCTAAATGAAAAAGTCTGGACATCAAATCAGGAACTTTTGTTTTCAACGATAATTGGCAACGATTAGACAACTGATACAAATTGTGTTTTGTTTTGGGCAGAAGAGTTTGCCTTGCACTGTGATCCATCTAGAAAAAGGCAGTAGTGAGTCCAGGGACTCACACAGCCAAAAACCTGTGAGTCCCACACTCATCATTATTTGAGTTGTACCTATAAATAACACATACAATTAAATGAGCTTTGTATTTTATTAGTTACATTCAGTCTTTGACATACAAATCACGCCTTTTCTTCGGGTTTCCTCAAATGACTTTCTTATCTCAGGGCCTTGGAGGGCCATCTTGTGTTCAAGGAGACCAGCATGCCGATTTAGCGTGGTGTTTTGAAAATTTAGGCACTGGGCTTCCTTACTCATCCGTTCAATTTCCTAGCCTCTGAGCAGACTTATCAATACAAATAATTTCCATTTTTCTCGTAGACCAGCCATGAATATGTTTTGAGCCAGGCAGATTTCGCTTGTGCTGATTCTTCATTGTCTTCATTCACTTTCACATCATCCTTCTCTACTGCAGTTGCTGCTTCTTGTTCTTGATATTTTTACTCACTTTGGGCCACTTTGCAAATGAGAGCTGTGTTTGCCCCTCCAGGGGCTCAAGTTTTTTCTTCGGTGGCATTCAATTTGAATAACAATGTCCACCTTACCAAAGCAAGCAGGAAGAGACAGAAAGCACGTGTATGGAATCAAAAAACATACACTTCTGTAAAATACCACTGATCATGAAAATTGAGCCTGTAATGACCAGACTATAATGGTGTCCACTTTACGATTACGCGCTGCTTACTTTGATACTTATTTTGAAATTTTTCATAAATAGAGAAGAAAAGTCTTAGTCGTGATCGTAATAGAGAGAAGGCAATTTTTTCACGTCCAATGAGACACATCTGGGACTAAATTTGTGTGTTTTTTAGGAAAATTATGAGTCTGAGATGCGGGACGCACAGGTAGATGGATCTCTGCTTGCAGTCTGCCAAACTTCGAATGTTTCAGTACAAGCCATGCAACATTTGATACTCTGGTCCTTTTTGCACAACATGTCCAGCTGACATGTAGAGTATCGGTGGTATTGAAGCCAATGGGTGGTTAGCAAAATGAGAGCCCTCTTTTCTAGTTTTGTAAGAATGGAGACAGTTTTTCAAACATTTGCAAATAAAGCAGGGGTTACACACTGTATTTAATTAGGGTTCTGACAGTAATAACTGTAGTGAAGATAGCGGTGAGCCTGTTATGCAAGGATTCAACAAATGTTTTCACAACTTTCCAGGTCATGTGTACATGTACATCTCAGAATATATCATTACCTTGCAGTGAACAAAAATACTTGTCCTGGAGACAAAAGTGCCTTGCGTCCAGGTGGCCTTCGTATTGGTGCACCTGCCCTGACAACACGCACAATGAAGGAAAAGGATTTTGAACAAGTTGCTGACTTCATTGATCGTGGCATCAAACTAGGATTGGAAGTGCAGAAACTCAGTGGGCCAGAGCAAAAGAAATTTGAAGAAGTGTTGTTAGGGGATCAGTTCAAGGGCAAAGTGGAAGCATTGAAAAATGAAGTGGAGGAGTTTGCTGTCAAATTCCCAATGCCAGGCCATGATGATATTTAAACCACTGGATGTTGCGCAGTCTGTATTTTGTTTAGTAACATGTGTGCATATTTGAAAGCCAGCACATGATGATACAGCATTTTATGCATTCTGCAACATAATTTAGGGGTGCAAAATAATAGTACTGAGTGGTCTTGGAAACTTTTGATCCTACCTTAAAATATCTGAAGTGTTTATGATGAGTCATCAAGTCTCGTTTATCTGTGTCTTTCAGTCATGCGGTGTAGAATCATTCAAGTTGCAGTCTTAAATTTTCAAACAAGTGTCTTGGCAAGTCTCTGATTTCACCATTCTTCACCCCTAACTTTCGCATTTGTTTGTTTTGAAAATAAGTTTAGGGTAAGTGAAGAAATTAAGGCATCTAGTGAAACAGACATTACAGATAACACTGTCGTTATGGTGAAGTGAAATTTCTGTGGTGATATCCATAGAACTTGTGCATATTTAAACTTTAAAGATTCAGGTTTTTCCCCAGCAAACTTCTGCGATCACAGTAGAGAAGCTAAATTATTGTATAACATCATAAGCAATTAGCTGTGAATGATATGACTATGTACTTGATAAGCAACGTGAACCAGTGTTATATCAAGCTATATCTAATAAACAGTATAATATTTCTCCAAACAGTGTTTTTTTGGTGGATGTAGGACCTGTGCAAGTCCTCTTTAATGTTGTGACATCAGCTATTTTGGGTGGCCACGTGCTGAAAAGGTGTTGGTACAAAACCTAATGGAAAGAACAAATCGAAATTATGTGGTTGCCAAATTCAGTAGAAGAGATGATTTACTGTGTAGGTAAAATTCATTATTGTTTGATTTTGTATACCTACACTGCTTTTTGTATGACATCCCTGGTTATTGATCCATGATCCCCTCTGTGTTTCAAGGAGTTTCATCCAGACTCCCTTGACTGTCACCCATTAAAAGGACTTCTCAAGACACGACTGGGAATGAATCAGGCTTCAGATCACAGTTTTCCCCTTTGCAATAGTGTTGCTTAATGGGGGACGGAGGCTTTGCAGAAGCTGTAATCCACAAGGCTAATATCATCCAAGCAGTTCTGACATTGCTATACAATTACTACCCCCTCCCCCTCAACCCACACGAAAAAGAAAATACCAAATTGAACAGTTTTTATACTCTAATCACCCTGAAACGATTATAAGATATTTTGTAACTTACCTTAAAAAACACAAACACAGCATCAGGGGCGGGCATCTCGTGTATTGATACAGCGAGCTTTTACGTCATCACCATAAAGAAATTACAGCAGTCAATAAACAAAGCAAAGTTGAAAGAGATGCCTTCGCGTGGCTCTTGCATAGCTTACAAAATCCTAAATAGCCTAATAGTCATCGCGCTGTCAGTTGAACAGTTCAAAACCATGCCCCCATGGTAACTTGGGTCTCGTATGGTGAGATATTTTAGAAGAAGTGCTACTTGGTTAGGGAAGGGCGTGTTTCGTACTAACTGGTCATGTGACTTTAAAAACAAAGTTTATTCGAAGAAACTATAGCTATATCGCTAGGAAAATTAAATGTAAATCACAAGTGGTTTTTTGTTTTCCCATTTTTTCTTCTGGAGATGAGGTTTTACACTGAGTTTTCATCAACTTTGTTCCCAGGGCCCTTTCCCCCAAGTGAGGAGAGGACCCTGAGAACGCAGTTGAATAGACCAATTTCGATATATTAAAATTCAGCCTTAAATAATAGACCTCACTCAGTACGAGGCTCTGGGGAATAAACCCCACAAACTCTTTAGTTATTCCCCAGAACCTCGTACTGAGGTCTATTGTTTTAGGCTGAATTTTAATATATCAAAATTGGTCTATTTTGATTGCTTTATGTAAGCCTCGTTTCCATAACCTCTCTTCTTCCTCTCTTCCCCGGAACGAGGGAAAGAGAAAACCTGATAACTAGGTTGGTAGTTTTATTCTTTTGTCCTAACAGTTGTGGGTATCCGAGTCGCCGATGAAGTCTCGCCCATTAACCCTTAATTCGTAGCAACACTACAAGGGTTTATCCAGAGGGTCGTACAAAGAGGGGAGGTGTGGGGAAGATGGCTGCCACTCCTCGCACCAAGCCCCTCCCTTTTAATTTTTAGCTCGCTGTTGTTCGCGCTTCACTGCAACTAACTGAACACACTGTTTCGCCTGAAAGGAGTAGCAAAGAATGAACTGAAGATGTTTCTGTTATGTTTCTCATCTGTGACGTTTCTGTGAAACTGCGGTAATGTTACGTGCAATTTGTCACCCAACAAATGTCACAAAAGGGGTTATTTACAGACCTTTACACGCGACGCTGTGTGGTCTAATGGCCCAGACCGTTCTATAAAGAATTACTTTGTGTAACTTCTAAGAGAAACCTTTGCGGTTAAAATTATATTCTTGGCATGTTTAGCGCTCCAAGGAAAACGTATTTTAACAACTTAAAAGAATTGGACCGTTAACCAGAAAAACTTTCGCTTCCTTTACCCCGCGCATTGTTGTCATGCACCTTGTGGTGTGAAGGCGTGTCACGATACAGGCTATGCAGGTTATGTCTGGCATTGTTTCGAGCTACACTAAAAGATTTTTGCCTTGTACGATGCACTGATTAAGATTAAAATATCCCGGTCAAATCCTCGAAGAAATTTGCACTACCGTTTTTAGTTTAGTTTCGTCGAAGAACAGATCTTGAAAATCCTGCTGCTGAGAAATTTCAAACGGAGGGTTGTAGTTGTTTAGCCAGAGATCGTGTTTCACAATGTTTTGCACAAGGAATCATTCCTCGGCTTAGTTCATTTATGCCTTTGTTAGTCGGAATTTATCGTTTTGTGTGTATTTCCGGGGCATGATTGGGGCGGTATTTTGCCGGAAGATGACAGTAAATAGTCAAATTTACTTTTAACAATTGATCGATATTTGGGCCTAATCAAGATTGAAATGGTGGTTTTTATCGTCTTGCAAACAAGCGGGTAAACTCAAAACGGCCTGGAGGAAGGAAATCCTTAAATAAAAACCTCGTTCTGTGTTATTTAAGAGACGATTTCCTAAACGCTGAACAATTTTAATTGTAATTTACGTAATGACTGAACTAGACATACCAGACGCTTTAGTTTGCTTTCTTTTTATCCATGACTCTGACTGTGACGCAAATAAGCGAATTGAAGTAGTTCGACAAGAGAGGGACATCATATTTAATTTACTCTCGTGTAGATCTCAAGATAGAAACTGAATTGTATTTTAGTGTATTAAGATGAACTGAGTTATATTTCAATTTACCGCCTTCAACTCCTTTTCGCAAAAATCAAAGTCTGACGTTCGTTTTGGCAGAACTTTTGGTAACAAATACGACTCAACTTTCCACCTAATGTCACGTTGATATCTAGTTAAAAGACCGTTGGACAGGACTTGTTTTGTCTCCAAAATACTTTTTTTTTGCGAGTTGTGTATCAGAATGACCTTTTACGGAATAACGAAAACATTTTCCATTGTGATAAATAGAAAATAAAACATGACCACAAAAGGTGTGCACTTTTGATATTCTTTTTAACCTTTTCATATAAATTCTTCTTTAGCAATATACTTTTCGATTGAAAATAGACGAGCAACCAGGGTTAAACATATTAAAACAATCAAAACGCTCTCAGGTTAAAATTTTAGGTTACAATGAGGCTTTTCTTTTCGTTTGTCCTGAGAACATTTTAGCCTGTCTTCGTAACAACGTATGTAAGCACTGCAACGAGAAATTAATACTAAAATGTTTATCACTTTAAAAAAAAGTTGAAAACAATTTTAGACGCCTAAATGAAGAGACATAACAAGGACCAGGCCTTCAGATCTAATCTTATAAAATAAGTACAATATATATATAAGCTTATATGAACTATATTGCAATATGTCTTTCTCTCCATCAATCTTTCTCTTTTTAACTAAATTCCCTTACATCGATCTTGGTTTGATTGTATGATTTATTGATGCTGTAAATTCATTCTTCCACTAACCTTTTGTCATACCGCATTAACCGAATGTCATCAACACTTTGTTAAGTGTTACTCAAATACAATAAGTGATGGGGTACTGAGATGCCTCACTTGGAATAACAACATAAAACTTTAAAAAAAACCGCCGTACTTTTCTGATGCCGGATGGTAGATTGACAGTAGAAGTTTCTTATTTTTCACATCTCCCGGTGATGCTTGCAGATTTTATTTAAGTACATAGGACATATTAAAAAACGGTCACCTTGGCAATTACAAACACGCAGTAACACATCCAATATGTAGTGTCGATTCAATAACTTTCGCTTTCGTTTTATTCTTCAAAACCATCATTATATGTTAGAAATGGATTTTTTGGGACTCTGAGTGGAAGGCGTGTCGACAGTTTGGGCAGCATTTCCGGAGCTAGAAACTGCAAACGCCGTTTCCATTGTATTTTCGCATGACTGACCGTCAACTCGGCGTGAAGGGGTTTCCTGAACAATAACGTTGACGCATGCGTACGCAAATATTTATACGGTGCTTATGGCGTTGTGTCGATCAAACCGTATTGACACGAGCAAGATCAAATTTCAGTAATAAGAGAGTTGTAAAGGAAATGGCCCTGGATGTGGCTGTATGGTGCAAACAGCTCGAAGTTGTTGTTCTGCTTCTAGTCTGTCTGTGCAGTCCGGTATTTTTGTGCCCGTCAGGCTGCGAGTGCGGACGAGAAAATCAAATGATCTTCGCGGAATGCTACGATCTAAATAGCATGACGAGCATTCCTGCCGGCATCCCAACAGATACCACCACACTGTGAGTTAGCCATGAGTTTATTTGTTCTCTAGCGATCAAAATGCGTCTTGTTATCAGCTCATAAAATTTTGTCACCTTTCTGAAGGGTTGTTATCTTATAAAATACACTGGCAAAGACACGAGGTAGCACAAACATGGCATAGAAACAAATTCAATTACCGCGTACTGTCCAAGCTTAGCTGAGTCAATTTCCAGTCGCCTTTTTAACATTGACTTGTCATTTACAGAACAAGGGGGCTGAAGCATTTCTTACAACTTAGGATCAAGTCAAAAGCGTAGCTTTTACAGAAATTGTACAACAAGAAATTGAAATTCGTCGTTAATGGCGGAGGGACCTTCTCAGTTCACGAATTTATTTTGAAGAGTTTTGTCGGCTCGTGTTCAACTCTGGGTTTGAAAGAATTTCTTATGTAAGCAAGGTGTATTCAGAGTTCGCATCGTTCAGCAAACAATTGACAGATTATTAAAAATTTGCTCGGAAACCGAATTTTGATAGTTTTCCGCCACAATTGACGTTCTGTCAATCGCGATGTTTAGTTCACTTAAAGTCGCGCTTTCCTTGTAAGAAAGTAAGCTTATATCTAAGTTAAACTTGAGTTTCTGTGAGAGCTACCACATCGGGACCTCGGTATCAAAAATAGATTTTTAATAAGGAATCTAACCATAAAATACATATTACAAGAAGTATTTAGTCGATATATTCAAGTGTCAGCTATTTTGCTAGGCTATTTTTTTTTTGCTCTCAAATACGGTCTGTATTCGAAAATCTGAAGATCGATTCATGAAATGGACCTTTTTCATAGCACAACGCTAACTCTAACTTTTATTTCATTTCTTACTTTTTCTCCTTAGGATATTATTCAACACTCGGATCTCAAAGATTCCGCAGAATGCCTTTCAAGGATTGTCTAATCTGAATGCAATGTGAGTAATCCAAATGTAAATTTGTCTGTATTGTGTGTGACACCTTTGCCTTGATTACCTGCGCATATTTAGAGAACGTCTCTTTTGTACAAGAACAAAACCACTTCCTTGACGAAGAGAAATAAACACACAGACAGGCTGAATGTACAAGAGCAAGGAAAACATGATTGTATGTTGTCGGAAATCGGCTTTTTTAAAGATAATCTGGCGAAAAAGGGCGCCAATATCCGAGAAATTTCTGCTTTCGTTTGGTCAAAAGAAATTTGTTATGCATCAAAGATTTAGAAGTGTGGGAGTACAAGCTTATTTAATTTTTCCACACATTCACATGACCGCTGCGACACTCACTGTCTTTTCTTATTATAACAATGACCAATAGAATTTCAAGAAAGAATATTTTACTATTGCGAAATAAGAATGTTTTGGACTATATTGATTTTGTTCCTTAAAAGGGGAAATGTTGTTGTTTTTTTCCGCGTGTTCTTAAGAAATTTTCTCAGTTATCTAAAAAGAGAATTCACTTAAAAATCGTTAGCTTCACTCTTTTAGAAACTTTCGACGTCTGCGAAAAGTTCGTCAGTTGAATTNAGAGTCAAGACTGAACTGTCTTTTCAAGGACTGGAAACTTTGATTTTCTAAGTCTTTCGCGGAGGCAAATTGCACGTACTTGTTTTTCACTATATTTGCAACTCGTTGTCTATAAAGGGGCACATTCTCAGTGCATCGGGGCAGCTTTTCTTCAGTTATTTTAATGAAGGCCAATAAAACCCATACAGCATCCATTTCTCTTGATAATAGTCCAATATAGAAATCGCAAATAAATCTTTATCCCCATTCAGATCACCCTGCCGGTCAGTTTTTACTAATAAAGACTGCCTAAACTTCTATGAAATGTTGCCGAGTCTTTTCCTCAGCCAAACCCTCGTTTTTTCTTAGTCTAATTTCTTACCGACTCTGATTTACCCTCTCAATTGCACTCAAAAATTTTTTGGGCTAAACGTACCCATTTTCAGCGTATCTGGATTTGCCCTTTGGTCATTAAAGATCAATAGCACCCGTGGAGTCCCAATCAAGTCATACCTTCGCCGCTTCAACAAAACCCTGATAGACCTGAACCAATGACAGCGCTTCTTCCTCCGCAGACTCGGAATCTAAGCATTGTATTTCGTTCAAAATACATCACTTTGCTACGGGTGTTCATTTTCAGTATATAATCCTGAAAATAACTCAAAGCGAAAGCGCAACTTAGCCAGCAATATGAGGTTTAAAAAACTCCAAAATTACAACACCAGTTTGCAGTTCAGGACAAACTCACAAACGGGTAAGGATGATTTTTAATAACTTAACATTCAATTTTAATTTGCAGAAGCATACAGTCCAATCCCTTAACAAGCATAGATGGAAATGCTTTTCAAGGGCTAACAAAGCTCAAAGAATTGTAAGTTTCGACATTTTTCTTCTATTTTCTTAAATTATAGTTCTGTAGTTTGCTTTTTTCTACTTTTCTTAAATTTCCCTAACAGGTCTTTACATTTGTTTTCCTATTTCAATGTACCGTTTTATGCCATTAACGCTAGTACGTTTGTTTGGTTCTTGCAGATCGTTGAATAGGAACAATGTAACTATTCTCTCGAAAGATTCCTTCAAAGGGCTAACACAAATAACAAGAATGTAAGTTAATTCATATTTGTCATTTTCTTTATTTCTGTTATTGTCAAAAGCTGCACGTTCTTATAATAGGTGTTTTAATTTCATTGGTTCACAGAGATCTATCCAGCAACAACTTGCAGATACTTCCTGATGGATTATATGAAAACACAGTCAACCTCGGAAAATTGTAAGTTGGTTAAGCTGATAACTAAAACTCATTTCCTTTAACTGCAATTTAGTAAAGGCCCAGTCCACATTACGCCGGAGAAATTGAAAAAAGGCGTTTCCACTCTGAAAACACATCAAATGTTTTCTGTCCACACCACGCAGGAGAAATTAAAAATGCAACAATCACCGGTCATTTTGGATTTGTGTTCGAGGAAACTCTGTCAGGGAAATTATATATTATCGTAATGTCATCGTTTTCGAAAAGTTTCATTTTCTACGTGTTTTTCGTCCACACTAAAACGCAAAGCTGGCGTTTTCAAATTTCTCCGGTTTGAAGAGCGTTTTCGAAAAGCTTTGTTTCAGTTTAGGTCGTGATGGATGTAGTGTGGACGGTAGGTAAAAATAAAGCTTCCTTTTATTAAATTTCTCCGGGTAGTGTAGACGGGGCCTAAATCGAATGGAAAGAAATCATTGTAGATGTTAAACCTGATACAAAAACAGTAAGAGATTATTCAGAGAACCTCTCTGCGGTATTGGTGATTTGTAACTTGTAGCCCCCTTGTACCATTATATTTTTTAATGATTTTCTTCTCTTCTCACAGATACCTTGATGACAACAAATTTACTTCAATATCTTCAAATCTCCTAAGAGGGCTTGGCAGATTGACTTATCTGTAAGTACTAAGAGGCTAGTGCAATCAGTCGCTACTTAGTGAACCATATTCGTATTCTCGGTATTTGACTGGAACTAGCTTGCAATGGAGGCTCATGCGGCGAAATACCCAACCTCGTTCCCAGGGTCTTTTCCCTGGCTTGGGGGTGGGCCAGGGAAAAGACCCTGGGAACGAGGTTGGCGGAATACCATTAAAAAAGACTCCCCTTATTAGCCTCAGTTGCAAGCTAGTTCCAGTCCTATACCGAGAACACGAATATTGTCCATTCTCGTGAATTTTATTTTTGAATGACCTAACATTAGGGAAGTGAGCCAATTATTCATAGCTGCGTGTGTTTCTTATTTATGACCAGGTCATTAGCTGAAAACCAGATTTCCAGCATCGACAGAGAAGCGTTCGCTTCCATGGCTTCAAGTCTAAATACTTTGTAAGTTTGAATTTTCTTTTTCGTTTTCTCAATTTTATTCAGTTGAACGTGGTTGTTTGGTGTTAATTTTTTTTCTATGTTGTTGTTGTTGCAGAAAGTTGGACAACAATCGTCTAAGTGAATTTCCAGTGGAACCACTCGAGAATTTCACTGCATTAAATGAGTTGTGAGTATTTCCACACTAACATATCTCTGCTTTTCAAATCAGCACATGTTTTAGTTTATATCGAGTTTTGGGTCAAAAATTCGTCTGAGAAATACGGTCGTGTAGTTTTTGTACTAATATTCATGGCACACAGAGAGAAAACCAAACTTTGAGAGCAAAATTAATTTTCGATCTACTGGAGTAGTTGTGTAAAGACTCTAGAAATGATTCGGCAATTAGGAATGAAGTTCCACTGTATTGCAAGGTACAGAAGGACTGAAGCTAGTTTGGTTAAGTTACTCCTTACTTATCGTGAGTGTAATCTCGATTATCAGCTGCTGATTTAGAAAATAAAGTGAGCTCGCGCTCCTCTTCTCCAGATACGCAACTTCCGATGACCTCTCTCTGGAGATAGCCTGCGTAGCAGCTGGCGTAAAACGGGGGAGTAGGGGAGAGTGAGCGGGAATGGAAGGAGGGGGCGTTGGAGAGAGTTCCGTCCACTTCCTCGTAGTAGCCTGTAGCACAGGCTGCACTCGATACTACTGCTGAAATTGAGCCACTGTGAGTGCGATTTATATTGTTTAGCACAGCGTCCCAAAATCAAACTTTCATGGAGGCGTGGATGATGTTTAATAACGCAAGTCAAGGGCAAATTAAGCTTAAACAATTGCTGTCTTATTCCTCACAGGCTCTTGGAGAACAACCATTTCACTACCATCCCGGTGGAGGCCAAGCAAATTTTCGACAAAATAGCAGAGCAAAACGGTGTCATGTAAGTAGCTCGTCATAAAATGGCAATATTGCGCTACAGCTTAAAAGGATAGTTTTTGTACTCTTCGGATGTTTTTTTTTTTTTTTCAAAATTTGAGAACGTGTAATCCAGGTACATTTTCTTATTGGTTAAACTTTGATGTCTGCTGTATTTACCTAAAAGAAAATGGTGTTCCATGTTCTCTAAGAAAACAATGCACGTTTTAGGTCTAGAAAAGCTGCTAGTAAACGCACTAGTGGAACGAGACCTCAAAAGTGCATTATTTTCTTAGAAACGTAGGAACAGCATCAGAATATAGCATGAAAGAGCGAAAACATTTACAACTAAGAAACGGTGGTGATTGCGCTGGCAACACAACATCCGGGAAAAAAGCCGAGTTATATTCCAACTATCTTTTAAGCAAATCATGAAAATCTTCGTTAGCTCCTAAACTTTTTATTTTTTTGTTGTACAGCTGGATTTCTAATAATCCTTTGGTGTGCACCAAGGAACTTGAATGGCTACAAACTTGGTTGAAGCTTCACGCGATAATTATGGGGGGACTGGACGGAGTCACGTGCCGAACGCCCTTCGGCAACTTGAGTAAAGTGTTTGATTTTGACTTCAGTCTTTTGGGTAAGCAACTTACTGTTTTGTGTTAAAATCCAGTTTTAATGAAGCAAAGCAACAGACACAAAGACAGGGAAGCAGAGATGGAGCAGTGGTGAGAGCGCTCGCCTCCCACCAATGTGCCCCGGCTGAAGCTACTTGTAGTCCAAGCCATTTTAGTCCATTAGTCCAGGCTGCGATTAATGGAAGCTAAAGGATCTTTCTAGAGAGCCGCTATCGTAGATTCGTACTGGAATGAACTTCCCGTAATCAAAACCGTTTTAAAATTCTCTCCACCCCCCTCTACTCAAATAAATAAATTAATGAATAAATAAATAAATATTAGCTTTCAAAGGGTCAGTAGTCATACCAATATGATGGCAACATCATCAACTCGGAGCTTGTGCAATAATGCAGTATACATTCTTTTTATTACTAAATTACAGATTATTGGCCGATACCCGGGGACATCGATGTAACACCTTCACCTACAGCTTCATCTGATTCCTCGACTATAATCGCGTCCTCAGCAGCACCAGTTGAGACCCTCGCTACGTCATCATCTACATCATCAACAACGACCACCTCCACGTCATCAACGGCACCAACTACGTCATTAGCTACGCCATCAACTCCGATTGTACCAACGTCATCAATGACAACGGCTACAAGGGATACGTCTTCAGTGACAACTATGACTAAGTCATCAACTGTGATCGCCGTTACTTTGTCTTCTACGTCACATTCCTCACCTTCATTATCAGTGACGACAAATCCTCCGGAAGAAAAGACAGTCACGTCGGCAGCAACTGATGAAGCAACTGCTATTTCTACACCTTTGACCTCGACAGCAAAGGAAACTGAGACGACTGGAGAGGAGACCGTGACTCCTGGATCAAAGATTGCTGTTTCCACAAAGTCAATTGAACAAGGTGCGCGCGAATACATTATCTGATAGGTACAAAGAAAGGCCGCTTGAGTAAAATGTGATGTAAATTTGTTATTTCCTATATTTTTCCTCCTCGTATATCGGCTTCGGTGTAAATGGGAGTTCGACGTGAGTGGAAAATATTTGTTGACAAACCGAATTGTTTTCGTCCGATCGGAAACACGCAAGGGCACTCAAAAAGCATGTCGCCCCACGATGACGTCACCTTACTTAGTCTCACCTGTAACACTGACAGCCTTGTGTGAAGCCCTTACTTGGCTTCACGCGTCTTGTCTTGTCGCTGTTATTACTGACGGAGTTTCGTATATTTTTTTCTTTTCACTGTAGAGAGTGGATCAGAAAAGAAGTTTCTCACAAGAAATCAAGAGGTTATTCTGTCCGCCTCTGCGGCTGGGGTTTTTCTGATTGTGGTAGTTGCTGTTGCGTTGTATTTCTTCAGGAAGAAAGTGTTGTTACGACAGAAAGCGTAAGTAAACCTAAAAAGGTCTATTTGTTCCTTATTAAAAGCATTTATCCTGCTGATTTTACGTTTACTATATTGTAACTAAAACCAATGTTGTCCTGTCCTTCCAGTCCGTAATGACCAGTCTTCTTTTTTTTACTTATATTGCCTCAAGTTTTTACTGATATAGACTTATAAAAGCTTATAAAAAATCTGGCGTTCTGTACCGGTTTTTCGTAAAGTCACCCACAAATCGAGGTGCGAAAGACCGACCTGAAAGGGAGAATACGCCCGTGGCGCCCAAATTCTCAGCGTAAAGAGCGAGGGAAAAGAACGCAGCTAACTACAACCACGAGAGACTTTAGGAAAGTCCGAGGTTTAGAAAGGAAAGGCGCAGCGATATTATTTCGCTGTGTTCTTGTCTTTCTAAGAATTCTGAACACGCTCAACTTTCTTGGAAACAGATGCAGAGACGTCTGAGGTTTAACTGAACAATTCTATACTGATGACGTAGCTGTATAGACTTACCTGTGGCGCCTCTGATTGGTTGTTATTTACGCGCGAAAATTCAAAACGGAGACGCTACTCGTATTTCTCAGCGTAGAGTTACGTCATTAGTATGCAATTTTTCATGTCAGCGGAATCTCAGTCAAGTTTTTCTCAAGAGAAGGACGGGAACAAGAGGGCGGGAAGAATTGAGCGTGCTCTGGTCCTAATGTACAAGGAAACATCGTGCTGATTTTGTCTCTTTTTGTTTTAGTTACGGCAATGGGAAGCTTCCAGGAGCGATGTACGATCGAGTCCATGCTGTGTAGCCTTTAATGGGAGAGATGATACTTAATGAATCGTTCAGTGATGAGCGCAAGGTTCATACGCGGCAGAAGGAATTCCACTGAATTAAAGAAACCAATCATCTCAGCGGCTGAACACCGGCGTGTCCAAGGAATAACAGGGTCTGCAGCCGAGAAAAATCTTTTGAAGTCGTCCGTACACCTATGAAGAACAGATTATCGAATTGATAAAGAAACGTTCATTCAGTGAATTCAAGGAAAAAGATTATGTTCCCAGATCAGAGTTGACAAAGGTTAAAAACGCTATTTATTGTAAAAAGACAGAAAACCAGCGTGGTAGTGGATAGACGAAAATACCCACAACAGAACATGTTTTAACCACTTCCAATTTCATTTGAGTCATGTTCATCATAGTTACTGCGTGTGGTTCAATTTCCTTATTTATATGGTTTTTACCCGAGAGAATGTTTTAGAGATGCTACGATAAGGTTTTTAGAAGTAAAGACTGTATGTTATACATACTTAATTAAAATCGCAAATTAAAGCGACCCTTACAGGGCTAAGTTGTAATCAAGTTGTTTCTTCTTGTATTCCTTGTTGAGAGTATCCGCTAAGAAGTCTGACTGACTGACTGACTGTCTGACTGACTGGCTGACTGGCTGACTGACTGTCTGACTGACTGGCTGACTGGCTGACTGGCTGACTGACGGACTGACTGACTGACTGACTGACTGACTGGGTAGCTGACGGACTGACGGCTAACGCTGATTGATTGAGAGAACGACCAACCTACCGACCGACTGGAAGGTTTTCAGTCTAAATTGCAGACTTTCTTAAGTCTTTCGCGTTCTTTGCACTCAAGTTTTAAGTGTCGCAGACATTTTTCAATTTCTAAGCTCAGATTTCGTAACCCGACTTGTAGGCAAGTCCAGCTAAATTGAACAACATGGCCCGGCTATGAAAAACATTCTTCTGCTCTAAATAATTCAGAACTGCCCTCCAAATCACCTAGTAATGGTTTCTTTCAACTTAAGTTCAACTAACAAACAATTTTTATTGTAAGTTGCAGTTCTACCACTCCAGCAGCAAAAGATTCATATTGATAGGCTAAATCACGGTTTTCGAGACCATCTTGACGAAAAAAAAGCGGTAAGAAATTACAGTGTTTGTATGGAAATCGGATGGCAAATAACTTTTTCAAAAATTGAATTTTACATAATTTGTGAATCGCAAGGATGTAGCCTGGCTAGAAGACGTTCAGTTAATTTTTGTAATTTTCCACACATTTGTTTGTAAATTTGGTTGGGTATACGCGGTCTAAAACCGTGAATTGGCCTATTGTAATAATGGTTGCCAGCCGGTCGTTTAATGTTCAAATGAATCTTCGACTTGCCAGTTTATATTTTTGGTATCCGGAGAGCGACGCAGAACTAAAAATATTTCGACTTTTGAAATAACCAAAAATGGTCTTGCTCACATTTCCTTATTTTCTGCCATTCCCAAGTCAAATTCAGCAGTCGGACGTCAGGCTGTATCGCGTGTTGGCACTGACAGCAAAATATTGATAAATATATTACTAAGTAGACGGATGTCGAGACTAATTATAAAGGAAATCACTTAGTCCACTCACCGAAGAAACCAATAACACTTTGATACAATAACACAACGCCAAGATTTTGAACCGCGAATGAAACATAGAAAGCATAAGTCTGAGGGCAGTATTTTGTACTTTTTTGAAGTGTTGGCAAATAACCGGATTGACTTATGCTTAGTAAAAACATGCCTTTGGCTTCTCTACATGCTTTATAGATTCATATTCCGATAAAAAATTTATATAACACCGAAATACGGTTTTAGCCAGTCATAGTTTGGGTAGAAATATAATCGCACGTCTCAGTGAACAAACTAAATTGTGAGGTATTATTCGCGTAAATGGCATCGGTAAACAGGTTACGTAGAGAGAGCGGAGTTAAACATTGATGCAGTTATCCAGTTACAACCCATCTGGGCTACAACTAAGGGGTACATGTTGATTGCCAAAGCCCTGGTCCAACCTCCCCCCACTCCCCGCCCCTCCACTTCAAGGTCCTGTCCCACTCCTCAAATCTACGTCCCATTGTCCACAGGACAGTCTGCATGGAGGGAAGGGATGACCAGATCTGAGAAATCACTGCGATCTGTCCAAAAAATACTTCTAAACAAATCACTCCATCGCAAAAAAACTCTGTCATACATGTATATGTTTTGGAAAGTTTTTGTTGCTACTAAAAGCTACTGAAGTTACTGATATGACACCGGCGAAAACTGGCAGTTTCAACGATAAGCTTGTACCTCGAAGTTTCCATGGCAACGACGGTGACTTCCCTAACACTCGCACTTGAGCGGTCACGATCGACTTTTGAAGCTAGAGATAAAAACAGAAATGACTTAGCAGAGCGAAGAAAATATGTCCACAACTGCACATTGTGTCTCTGGCTACGGCCAAGGTACAGACACGTCCGCTGTGCTCACTAATCGTTCAAAGTACATCACGATTATCGCGGATGAACCATATTTCTCGCGTCATTCGAGAACATTTCCGCCAGCCCGACAGAGGAAGGGAACAAGACCTATGCACAAAACAACCCTTACATATGAAGTTAAACCAGTTCAAACTACATATGTCAGCTGTATGAAGGCGGTAGGTAAACATTTCCTCTTCTTAAACAGTGTGAGGAAACAGGTGTTCGTTGTTTAAGTTTCACCCAGTGTATGAAGCGCCAAG